TTCGTCTTGATGGTAGTCGACTGAGGTGCGCTGAAGCTAGCATTAGGAAACCGACATGTGTGGGGTTTGTCTACAACAAAACGATGTCTTCCTGCACGATGTTCACGGTGTCTCAAAGCTGTCTTGATAACAGGACAGGAATCGCAGTCACGGCCGTAGAACGACAGTGTTCCTGGAACGCAGAAACCTGACTGATACATGTATATATTACACTGCAGGAGTAGTCCATCGATGTGGGTTGTGTTCGTATTAGATGATGACTCTTTACTGGGAGAAACCATCCGAAACGTAACTGAAGAATATATGTTGTGTCAAATAATGTGTGTTTTAACTGTTGCTGAGCGATTTCAATTAATCCATAAGATATGGCACGTATTGATGCTTAGATAGTGATATAATGGGTTTTCAGCAACCAACGTTCGTCGAAAGAGACCCGTGAAGATCCGGGGTGGAATAAGTCTTCAGCAACCCATGCTTGCCATAAAAGGCAACTATGCCTGTCGTAAAAGGCAACTAACGGGATCAGATGGTCAGGCTCGCTGACTTGGTTGATGCATGTCATTGATCCCAATTGCTAGGATCGATACTCATGATATCAATCACTGGGTTGTCTGGTCTAGACTTGATTATTTACAGACCGCTGTCATGTAATTGGAATATTGCTGAGTGCGGCGTAAAACAACAAACCAACCAACCGACCGAAAGAGGAGACTTACGGGATCGGGTGGCTGGTCTTCGTTGATGCATTTCGTGGTATGCAACCTTCGTAGATCAACGCTCATGATACGAATCACTGACATGTCTGATTCAATTTCCATTATTTACAAGCAACCCCCATGTAGCTGGAGTAATGTTGAGTGTGGCGTTAAACAACAAACAACATTTAGCATAGCAAATTTATTATTCACACGTGGTTTTAACAATACAGATTATACGCAAAAGACTTGTTGATATTAATTACGCTTTATTATATGACCGTGTATTTTATTGTTTGACAATGATTGTAACTGTGTTGCATTGTTTCTCTGGAATTCGGTAGACGCTCGTTGCATTGTGTTTCGACAGTTATCTGTCGTCACGAAGCTACTATATTAAGATGCTAGTGTGGTGTGAAAACTCCCGGTCCAGTATACCACGGACGGTGATGGTATGTTATGGATACTTCATAAATAGTCCAGTGCCCATGGACTGGTGAAGGCACTTTACAGTGGCTGGGTAGGTTGTATTTTAGGGGACAAGAACGCGTTTACGATCCCTCACGCACTTTATCGCTTTGGAACCAGCTTCCATGTGAGGATCGCTCATCATCCCTGATTCCCCAGCCCATTTTGGAAGCTTGACCTCTGTCGCCCGCTGGGTGAATATATATTATTATCACTAACTTTTATTCTCACCATAGTATTTTTGTATCTGATACTGATCTCTGCCATCACAATATACTATCACTATATTGTGTAATGCCATTGTGATTGCTGTGCAGTAATTTGAATTGATTTGTAAACCTTGTTAATTTTTTGTAATATATTTATTGATTGTACACCACGTGTTGTGTGTTTGTTGGTTTCACACAAGGTTATTTTAAGTACAGATTTCTTTGTTAACATATGGTTTAAATTTTGGAACTTAACAGCTTTAAAGATTAGATTTCGTAAAACCAACTTGTAAATATCCACGTTAGAATAATTTTTAAGCAACCCCAGCTTGCCCTGAAAGGCGTCCATGCTTGTCGTAAGAGGCGACTAACAGAATCAGGTGGTGAGACTGACTAATCGAGTGAATCAATGCTCATGATGTCAATCACTAGAATATTTACTGACTGACGTCATGCAGCTGGAATATTGCAGAGAACGACGTTAAACAACAAGCAAACAAACGTAAAACCAATGATTTGAAGTTCATGTTTTGTTTGAAAAACAGAAACACTAAAACCGTTAGCAAAGCGTTCATAAAATGTATTGAGAGAGTTAACTTATTAATAACGTTTAAATGTCTCGGAGGGGAATCACATTGATGCATGATTTTTAAAAAAAAGATCATACTCATCTTTTTGTGTTTTTCACCTCAACCTCAATTAGCAGAAGAGCGGGGAGGCGACCTAATGTTTGTTACAAAAACTGGTTAACACTGACATATTGAGGTTTAGAACACTGAAAAGTGATGTATGGCACTATTGGGTGAGAGTGTGGGTTGGCATCCCGCACGGATCTCGAGAACAAAAGTACTGTATTGTAATTGTAATCCCAAACTTAACAAAATGTTACATTGTCACACCTTTCAATGTCCTTGTATGTACGGCAAACTAAATTACCTTCAGTGCATGCAGAGGGACCGGGAAAGTCTTCTCATGAAGAGGCCATTTGAACACATGTTGATATTATTTGGTGAATTCAATGGGCTCAATATATACAGTACTAATGTAGATAAAAGGGGCAAAATCCAAAGTGATATATTTCTATAACTTTATAAATCAACCCACCATCCCCCGATACTAATAAAGCCCTTGGCTAAAACACGATCAAATAAAAGCAACACAACCCTTCATATCTTGTCAATAAATCTCTGCTGGAAGCAGAGTCAAATGGACGATTTTGATTCTATCATGAGCATGTGTCTGTAGATCACTATCAAATAGTGATGATACCAGGAGTGATCATCCGAAACAAACAGAGGGAGATATATGGCCCAAGTCAAAATAGAATTGCATCGGACATGGTATTTGTCAATGCTGCATCAAATCTTGAATTTCCTCCACACGTCTACACGTTTTTGAAAGCTTTACTGAAGCCTTGAATGTTGTAACCTTGACCAAACAAGTATTCAGAAGGAGTCGTTTGATTTTGTTTGAAATTGTGTTGGAAAGACATTGCTCGATTGCACTTCCAAAGTTGGGATATGTTGGCACGAAAGATCTGCTGGAAAATGCTCGACATCAAGTTATCTTGTGGAGAGTTTTCTGTCACTCTGAACTGTATAGAGCTAAGTATGAAACAGACAATGCGGTCGACCTCATTGGTCTTCTTTATTTCTGGTTCACTTCAGTATATCAGTCGTGGGCATTGGTTGTTTGATGGCTATAAGACGTATAAGATCATTGATATACCTGAAGCTTAAATTAAACTTCTTGATCAAAATATCTTGTTTTCAATATGACTCCGCAAATAACAGAAATATGAGAACAAAAGCTTATGAATATATGTATCTTAAATAAACGGTTACAGTCTTGAGTGGGCGATATCTTGATGCCTTGACGGTCGCCCGACAACTGGACGAGAAGGCAACTGGCTGTCAAAGGGTGTCTCGGTTCACCATCGGTCTTCACTTCCGACTGTGGAGCAGCCTAAACGTACGTTTGATCAGCTGGACTATTCCTGCTTGTTAGCAACCAGAGTCCTGGTGCATTAGGAAAAACGTTTTCCTCGTGGAATACGCTGCACCTTCACCAGCCTTCACATGATATGAGCGAGGTGTGTTGACATAACATTTGGTATCCAATTTTCTCCTTGTCTCACTCATACATCATGCGTATTTGAGGCATTCCTTGGATGTGGTTACCTGTCATAGTAATGCATAGTAATGCCTTAGATTCAGTTTTAGAATCCACCAATACTTTCACAACTGGTGATTGCTGGGTAAGTCAGTCCTGGGACGTCTAAATCCCTTGAAAGGTTGGTTGGTTGGTTGGTTTGTTGTTTAACGCCGTACTCAGCAATATTCCAGCTATATGACGGCGGTCTGTAAATAATCGAGTCTGGACCAGACAATCCAGTGATCAATATCATGAGCATCTATCCACGCAATTTGGATCGATGACATGCATCAACCAAGTCAGTGAGCCTGACCACCTGATCCCGTTAGTCGCCTTTGTGTCACCTTTTACGGCAAGCATGGGTTGCTGAAGACCTATTCTACCCCGGAATCTTCACGGGGCCCCTTGAAGGAGAAGATCCAATGTCACTTAATGGATCTTTGTGCACTGAATGGATCTGTGTGATAAGCAAGTGGAGGCCAATCGGAATTATCGCCACTCTGCTTATCCCTAAGCATGTGTACAGACATTAGCTTGTTGATATAAGGATGAGAAGTTATATGTTCAGTGTTGCACTTTTGAAGAATTCGTACTGAGGCATATTGCGGCCAATTATCAGAGACACCTTGTGGGGTACATCATATCGATTGTTGGCTGATATGACAGAACTTTACATTGTATCCAAAATGAAAGATCAGGGAGTCTATGTCAGATATTTACAACCCGCAGAAACAATGAAACCACTCAAACAAACACATACCTGTTTTCGTTCGAGGGTATGTTAGACGACGCCATTCAAAGTAGTTTTATTTCTACACATTTTTAATAATATAATATGTGTTCATTTAAGTTTGGCTACATTTGGCTAAAATCGCCGACAAATTAAGGGATGTAAATCCGCCTAGGGTCCATGCATGTAGCAAACGTACTGTAAGTCCCCATGGTAATCTACTTCAGCTGCTGGCGATCTATAACCCGTTTTTATATTGTGTTTTGATATTGTATTGTATATTGTATTGATAATGTATTATTTTAGAATCTGTGATATTCTCATTAGTGTACTGTCCATCGATGAAAAGATTCTATTTAGTCTAAATATATGTATTTTTGGCCTTAATGTATGTATTATCAAAGGATAACTTCTCGTCACGATATGGCTGAAATATTGCCGATGTGACGTTAAATATTAACTCACTCACTTACGACGTTTGGGAACAACAATGTTCCTCACTGGACAGCAGTAGCAGGTTTTGTAGGTGATAGTTATTTAACGCAGCCTGTGATTTGACGCCATGATGTATCATATTATTAGTTGTGTCATATATCACAACAATTTCATAACACAGAGAAGGTTGCCAGCAGGAAGTTATACAAATCGTAGGTCCTTTGGCAGGACTCACGGAATAATTTACATTAAGAACTTCATTTCTACTCAGAAGATGCTACAGCATAAAAACACTTCACAAACAATGTGTTAAGTTCACACACTGTTTATTAAACAATACTAACAATATCCATGAAATAATGTAATTCAATGTACATCTACAAGTCTTTACAATTACAAGGATGTATTTCATCACAGGTAAATAAGTAAGAACAAATTCAAAATTTGATGAAGGGATTTGATGACAGATGAAGGGCAAAATTATTGATGACAGATATTGTCCAATACATTAATGACCAAAAACATTCCATATCTTCTCTTTCATGGGTGTTTTCATATGGTAATACCAAAGACATCAGTAGATTCAAGTATTGTTTGACAATGACACATACACACAATCGGGTGAATACATAATTTTGATATTTAATAACACTGATAACTGTCAAATCTAAAATAATACAATTGGAATGTTAAGCAGGATTCTAAACTTATTCACTTTTTAAGAGATTTGAAATACCCAACAAGTCCTAATTTTTTTTTTATCTATCACTATTGCTAATACAGTTTTCAAATTTGTTAAAGTTTTCTGTCAAGAGTGTTTCTATGTGCACACATGTTCTATCCTATGCATCAATCGTATGCATGTATCTGCTTGCAACAAAGCAGTCACTGGTGTTGCTTCTTCCAGATAGTTTATTGACATCTTCTCCTGAACAAGGTTATGACTCTTCGACTGTAGGTCTTCAGGCAACTTACTTGCTCCGTTATCAGGAACATTGTCAGTTCGTTTGTCATTTTCTTGGCTTGTTTTATTCCTGGCTGTTTTATGATTTTACTGCTTCCGAGTTTAAGATCTGTTTGCCTTGTACATGTTCAGATGATACACGTCTGACCTCACAATTGAAGTCATTATATCATGCCATGGCATGATGTTCCTGTCTGACTCTCCACCGGATGACAGTTTTTCTATGATTTGTTTGCAGTCCACTTTAAGGGCAAGATCTAAGGCGTCATCCCCTGTGTTGTCAACTAGTTTCAAATCTGCGCCTCTACTTTGCAGGTATTCAAATACTGCAACTTTACCATGCAGTACTGATGTCATTATGCATGTTAAACCAGCCTTGTCTTTAGTGTTTATATCAAACCTGTCTGAGATGTGTTTCACAACATCGAGGTGACCATATTTACAAGCAAGATGTAGAAGGGTGAGCCCATCATTGTCCACCAGAGTATGGTTAGCTGAACGAGACATCAGGAACTTCAGCACACTAATGTGGCCTCCAATAACAGCCCTCATCAGAGGTGTGGAACCATTCCTTCCCCTGGTGTTGATGTCAAATAGGTCAATGACCTTCTTCATGATTGCTATGGTACCACCCTGACTTGCTGCATGAAGAACATTATCATTCTTTGGAGTAATCAATGATACAATACCCCCATTTGATGCAATCAGATCATAAGCATCTTTGTTTCCACTGAGAGCTGCCATCATTATTGGCGTCCACCCGTCTTCACCCGGACTGTTGATGTCAAACAGTGGCAGGAGGTACTCTACGATGAACGCATTCCCACCCTGACACGCAAGATGCAGTAAATTGTTCCTGTGATGATCAAGCAGTGTCAAGTCAGCATTTTGTGACACCAGCAGGTTGAACACATTCTTTTGTCCTGCCCAAGCTGCAAGCATCAATGGAGTGAAGCCGTTCCGTCCTTTAATATTAACGTCAAACATCTTCAGGAGATATGCCACAATTGCTGTGTCCCCTCCTTGACATGCAAAATGTAGAACATTATCATTGTAGTCATCAATCAGATTCAGGTCAGCTTCCTTTGACACAAGAAGGTCAAATACATTTCTTCTGGCTGCCAAAGCTGCCTCCATCAATGCTGATCTCTTGTTGTATCCCAGACAATTGATATCACTCTGTTGCAGGAGATGTTCTACAATAGAATTATTTCCACCAAGACAAGCTAAATGAAATACAGAGTTGTTGTAATCATCTTTCAGTGACATGTCAGCGCCATTTGAGACAAGCAGGTCAAACACACTCTTCAGTCCATTGACAGCTGCATACATCACAGCCGTCATTCCATCTTGTCCCCGACTGTTGATGTCAAACAGTGGAAGCAGATGCTCTATGCTCAACCTGTTTCCTCCCTGACATGCAAGGTGAAGAATGTTGTTATTGTAGTCGTCTGTCAGGGTGAGATCCACATCTTTTGAAACGAGCAAGATGAAAAGGTCTCTGTTTCCACACCGAGCTGCAACCATGACTGGGGTCCTGCCATTCCTTCCACGAATATTAAGGTCAACTGTTGGCAGAAGATGTTCCACAATGGCTGCGTCTCCTCCCTCACAGGCAAAATGGAGCACAGTGTCCTTATAGTCGTCAGCCAATTCCAGATCCACATTCTGTGACTCAAGAAATTTGAAAATATGACTTTGTCCTGACCAGGCAGCATTCATAACTGCAGTTCTCCCGTGGTCACCCCGACTGTTGATGTCAGAATGTGGTAGCAGATCCTCCACAATAGATATATTTCCACCTACACTTGCGACATGAAACAGGGAACTGTTGTTGTCATCCTTCAGGGATAAATCAGCCCCCTCTGCTACAAGGAAGTCAAACACCCTCTTCATTCCATTGGCTGCAGCGTACATCACTGGCGTCCATCCATTATTTCCACGACCGTTGATCTCAAACCTTGTCAGTAGATACTTCACAATGGAGGCATGTCCACCATGGCATGCGAGATGAAGGATATTGTTGTTGTTGTCATCTTTCGGGTAAAGTTCAGCCTTTGCCTCCACAAGCAGGTGAAATGCATGTGCTGCTCCATTGACAGCTGCCTTCATTACAGGTGTCCAACCATGACTTCCTGGAACATCGATGTCAAAGTCTGTAAGTAGAATTTGGGGTATATCATCAAGGAGGCAGGCCAAGTGAAGGAGGCTGTTGTTGTCCCCATCAGTCAAAGAGATGTCTGCATTGTGTGACATGAGAAGGTTGAATATGTCCCTCCTCCCAGACAATAGTGCACTCATTATAGGTGTCATGCCATTTTCCCCATGACAATCTCTATCTGTTAATGGCAACAACGAATTAACAATGGACTCATTTGCATACATACATGCCAGATGAAGAACAGTGTTGTTGTTCCTATCTCGTAATGTTAAATCAGTTGTCTTCTTTTTTAGAAGAAAGTTTAAGAGACCATTCTTGCCTGAGCAAACTGCACACATAATTGGTGTCCATTTATTCATCCCTCGACTGTTGACATGCCAAGCAGTACTTTGTTTCAGCAGCCTTTCCATACATTCCACAATAGGAATATTCCCATATTGACAAGCCAAATGAAATAGGTCGTTGTTCATAGTGTCACGTAATGTGATATCAGCTTGATGCTTTACGAGAAGTTTCAAGGTATTCTTCTGTCCACCAGTAACAGCGAACATAGCTGGCGTCCAGCCATTCACAGCACGTCTATTGATGTCACAGTGAGGGAGAAATCTTTCAATGATGTCATTGTTCCCAGAGAAACAGGCAAAATGGAGAACGCTGTGCTTAGAATCAGAAGACATAGTGCCTACTTCTTTAAGCATTTGGTACACTTTATCTTCTATGTCTTTCCTTTTCCAAATGGGATGCATGATGTACCTACTGAAAGTGCCAGCAACAACAGCTTCAGCCAGCCTGGCAGCAATGGTGTCACTGTAGGCATCTGAGAAATGCATGGCATTCTGTTCTACATGAGCAGTGTTGTGTTGCTGATCATGTACATGCTCACAAATGAACTTTATACTGCAGTTATGAAGGACAAGCTCTGGCTTAGTATTCAATTGGACAGACATGAAGGTATTGTGTATGAAAGGATGGGAAAATGAGACAAGCGCTAAAACATCCTTCAGGTGTGCATCGAGTTCTGGGTTGTCAGATTCAGTCTGCAGTTGTCTGAGTTTTTGTTCACCATCACACAGTGACTTCAGCAGGAGTTTCAATGATTGGTCTTTCAATTGACTCGTGTTCATACCAAGGTCGCGCTTAAGAAAGAAAAGAGGTTTTTCGAAAAACGATTCTTTGACTTTATGAAAAGGGGTGTGCATTGAGAAAAGTTTGCATACCAGGGGAAAACCAACAGTTTCATCATATGCAATAATTTTGTTCACGTCGACGTCAGTTTCACATTTATAGTGAGTTTTGTGTTTCAACCATATCGCCTTCTTCTCTTCACTTCTCTTTGATTTTGTCAAGTCTACCACTGAAGCTTTTTGGAAAAGAATATGACCTCTAAGTTTTGACATTGCATATTCAAGGTTGTTGGTGTCTGTGGTGAATATGATGTTCAGGTTTGGCTGGTCGCTGCTTCTTTGTTCTGCTCCTGGTGTCTTCTGCAGGATGTGGTACCTTGTTTCTAACATGGTTCTCCACTGTTCCAGGTGCCCATGGAGCTCATAGAGAACTTGTCTCAGGCGATGTACATCCATAGATCCAACGTTCTGAAATATGTCATCGAATATGACACACACGTCCTTGCCCTGACCTAGGCAATCAGACAACTGAACAGTACCAACATCCTCAACCAGTACCAGCTCATACCCCTGCTTCCTGTATTCAGCTCCAAGCATCAGGGCCATTGATGTTTTACCTTCTCCTGGAGCACCGCTTATTGTCACATGGCCAAACGTCTTCAGCTTCTCTTTCACTAAGTTAAAACTCTCAGTTTCAACAAACAGGTCATTGATATCCTCTGTGTGGTTTGGCCGATCTGTGAAGTTTGAACAAATATCACACATGCAAAGTGAGAAGCAGTAGCTCAGGGAATTATAGATTCTTGAGAAAAAGATTTATCGTTAGGGACACATATTTCCTGAAGATAATTGTCTACTTTTGAAATATATCCAAATGTAATAACTAAATGGAATAATGTTAAATCTTAAGATTTGTTGATTACCCACATTGCAAATGTAAGACTGGTATGTACAAATGCGTTCATGCAATGTATACTGATACTGTTACAAAAACCAAAAGGAGCTAATACCTGTGGGTAGTTTATCTCTGTAGGAATGACTTTTGCGAGTATCCTCATCCTTTGGTGATGCTGTCAGGATAACAAACTCAATGGATTCACTGAACATATCTAAAGCTTGTGCATTACAACATTACTCATTTGTTCAAAGTCTAGAAGATAATTTCTGTGTTGAACATTACCCTGTTATGTTTTATTACAAAGCTAAGTATTTGAAGAATTTGAAACAACTTTACGTCTGATGAACCTAACAACGTTTACAAGAGATCAACTTTGTCACTTGACAATTTTTTATATGCATAAACCTCAACCACCCTGCTACTTTCAGAGGTATCAACCACCACACAATCAGGGTCGGTCGGGTAGCCTAGTGGTTAAAGCGTTCGCTCGTTGCGCCGAGGACCAGGTTTCGATTCCTGACATCGGTACAACGTGTGAAGCCCATTTCTGGTGCCCCCCGCCGTGATATTGCTGGAATATTGCTAATAGCGGGGTAAAACCTTACTCAGCCACTCACAATCAGGCACCCGAAGGCCATCTATACTCACTCACTCACAATCAGGCACCTGAAGGCCATCTATACTCACTCACTTACAATCAGGCACCCGAAGGCCATCTATACTCACTCACAATCAGCCACCTGAAGGCCATCTATACTCACTCACTCACAATCAGGCACCCGGAGGCCATCTATACTCACAGAACTGCCAGGCCTCAGGCTGCTCCTCAATCAAGGAAACTGAAACATATTGTTTGAGGTCCAATCAAGCACATCAAATAAGCCACATGTTTTGACAAAAATATTCGTTCTATATCTCCACCGACCTCTTTATTGTTGAAGCATGTTGATCTTCATTTCCACAATTGGCATTGACGTATGCTTTTGAATAAACATGTGACCGAAGTACCCGATTTATGTGTAAACACATCACCATAAATATATATATATATATATATATATATATATATATATATATATATAGTCCTCCAACTCAAAAGAAGATGCAAACAACATTAATTCAATACTGTAAAACCTGGATATACCGAACTCGAAGGGGTCTCGAAAAGCAGTTTGTTATATCCGTGGTTCGTGAATCACAAAAGAACAGATTCTGTCTACCGCCTTGAAGTGAAAAAGTGAAAAGAAATCGCGTGAAATCTCAGATTCCTTCAAATAACCCAACACTGCTTATGTTATTCACAGCTAATTTGAGGCGAGTAATGTTAATTGCAGGTAACACTGAGTTTTTTCCAGATCACTTTATTTAGCATTAATTAGGGGTATTTGAGTCCAAGGGAGATTAACATTGTTCTCCCTGCTTCCAGCAGAGTTGGCCTAACATTTAGATATGCTGCTGCCACATATTTGACCCATTGTCTTACATTTGTGATTGTAAACCTAATCCTTTGTATTTCAATTTCGTTTGCTGATTGTTCATTTACATTTTGTGGTGACTGACTGATTTCACAAAATTAGTGTATAGAGTTAACGTTTGTTCTTCAGTTTGGGAATCAACATGTAACACATTCCTCATTTTCAGTGATCCATTCATACAATGTTCGTCACCGTTAAATTATGATTATCCTCTAGAATTGATGTGTCATATATACAGAACCTTATTTGTGGCAAAGGGAAATAAACTGGCAGGTTAGTGGTCATATGAAACAAACCAGTATGTAGCAAGAGGCTTATGTTTTACGTTCATCAACATATTCTAGAAGTATTTACCATGGCAAATTTCACCAACTAAATTTTAAATGCTTTTGAATTATGTATACTTACGGGCTTCATCAGAACTGCAAAGGAAAGTATACATTTGATATACAAAGTGTGTTGTACTCAGTTGTATTTCATTGGCGTTAGACACACTAATAGCATGGAGCAACACTAAAGTACGATTTGCTCATTTATCAATCCTGTTCCTTTACCCAAATCATTTAGTTGAGGAAGCTGCACTGTCACATAATTAAACTTTGACAACAATGCACTCCTTTATAATTCATATATTTTGTGTGTCTTTAATCCTAATGGAATATGTTTCGGTGGATAATGGGACTACTTATTCTGTGGTTATATATTTACCTGATATACGGATAAGTATGCCCTCTTTTCGAGTTTGTTCTCGATTTGGTCTTCCTTCTGTAACAGAATCAGAAGCAAAGACAAAGTATTTTAACTATTGTTTATGAGCACAAACACAAGGTTTTCTATATTTACTGGTTCACATGAAATGGTAAGAAAGCAAACTTGGTTGCATTAGTACTTGACCATGGCGTCTTTCCTGATATTATCTATACACAACGATATACCTTTAATCGTTCACATGATATAGTGTGACAGCATTTGTTATACTTGAATATAACTTTGAAGTATGTATACTTATTGAGTAAAATATACACTTGCCGTCTGAGTATCGACACAGCAAGGATGATAGCGACGACGATGATAGCGAGGAACACAGGGACAAGAATCGCAGCAAGATTCGTCGGTTTTGTTGTGGTAGACTCAATGGGACCTATCGTGGAAAGAGAAAATATGTTTTTAAAAATAACGACCATCAATGATGTACCCGACTACAGCTCATTCTACAGCATGATAAACAATTTTGATTATTGCATATAATGTGAATATATGTCTGATTTTGGAGACTTTTTTTTGTAAACCCAGACTGTGTTTAGGGAATATTGTCTTGTATATTAGCCTAATGTAAAAGAATCCCAAACAATACCAAAGCCAATGTCGAGTGTACATAATGGGTAAATAGCGAATTGAATCAAGTAAAAATACTCCATGCTTATCCCTATAATTGCAACGTTAGGGAAAGCAGAAGCTTATATTTCTTAAAATGTACGTGTCTTTTCGGTTGTTGCCACACGATATACAAGGGATTGTCTGATACAGGTAATCGAGTCGGGCCATGTTCCCGACATGGGATAATGTGTGAAGCCCATTTCTTGTGTCCCCCGCCGTGATATTGCTGGACTATTGCTAAAAGCGGCGTAAAGCCATACCCACACTCTGTTCCACTGACATGTCACATTTGTACAAGGCGGAAGAAAAACGTTGATGTTTGATTATTTTATGCTTGAAACACCTGTCACATTTTCAGAAGTTTACATAGTAATCATTTATTTTGATTGTATGTCCTATTGTTCGTCCTGTACAAAATGGATGTAGTTTCATGAACACTAGGATATTGCAAAGCGAATTGATCAGTGAAACTGCCGGCACGGTGGAAGGAGCTGTAGCACCATCATTATGTACTCATTGACGTCTCCAACCTTTTAAATTTGTAACCTCGTAAACGATTATTAACTGACAATTATTTGGCATATGTTGTAGCATGTTCTGCAAGTTTCAGTCTATGTGTACCGGCATTGGGGCATGTATGTCTTTCTACCATTTCAAGAGAGGCCATTGGAAGTAAACATTTATGGTTCTTTTATATAGTTTCAAGCATGTTTAAGGATGACTTATTTTAAAATATGTCCTGCATGAGACTACTATACCTGAAGTGATGTTGCAATAATCCCCGCTGTAGGAACTTTTGCAACCAAATGTACACTGTCCATTTCCTTGATTGCAGGTTTTCTCCAGACAGCGTCCGCTACAAAATCTATTACATTGATCCCCATGATGTCTAGGAACGCATCCCTCAGAACACTTCCCAGTGTACTTATGACAGTGCCGGAGGTTTCCCACACGGTCGGTGTTGCAGGTCAAAGGGCAGCCCTTGTCGCAATTCTCGCCGTATGTTCCCCATGGACATTGGTCCTCACAGAGCACTTGTGATGCTGGAATAGAATAATAAGTGCCATATTAAAATAGAAAAATACTAAGTTAATTTCATTTGAAATTTCAAGATTTGAAGTCATAGTGTGGCGGCTGTAAAATTTCCGAGTCCTGTGATGGGATTCGAACCACGGACCTTCTGATCCGAGGTCGGACGAGGTGGCTGAGTGAGTTAGATCGCTGACTTTGTGTGCTGGCTATAAGGTGCCTCACTCTGGCAAGTGCGGCTCGAATCCTGGACGGGACTCATTTGTTACATGTCATGCATTGTTTATGATGTAGCGGCAATTTATAATGTCATGCATTGTTCATGATGTAGCAGAAGATTATAAAGTCATCCATTGTTCATGATGTAGCAGAATATTATAATCTCATCCATTGTTCATGATGTAGCAGAAGGTTATAATAGCATGCATTGTTCATGATGTAGCAGAAAATTATAATGTCATGCATTGTTCATGATGTAGCAAAATATTATGTCATCCATTGTTCATGATGTAGCAGAAGATTATAATGTCATACATTGTTCATGATGTAGCAGATTATAATGTATTGCATTGTTCATGATGTAGCATAATATTATAATGTCATGCATTCTTCATGATGTAGCAGAAGATTATAATGTCATGCATTCTTCATGATGTAGCAGAATATTATAATGTCATGCATTCTTCATGATGTAGCAGAATATTATTATGTCATGCATTATTCATGATGTAGCAAAATATTATAATGTCATGCATTCTTCATGGTGTAGCAGAATATTATAATGTCATGCATTATTCATGATGTAGCAGAAGATACTAGATTTTAAATGGTCAGCAAGAGCTTTCAGATCAAAATAACGACTCAAAACAGTTAACTTGATGACCCCACCAACGCGGAAGCTATTGTTCTCCATTATAAAAATACTACCTTTTCTTAATCATTGTAAGAATTCACTTTGACATTATGATATGTGCTGGTGTCAATTATCCATGGTAAACTATGACAGGGTATGTCGGTGGTCTATCACTTTAAAATTATCATTAGTCCGAACATGTCCAAGCAGCCACAGACGCATCACAATGCCATCCAAGTCGCTCTATAAGTTCAATAATCAATAACATGATGAAAGTCGATCATGGGGGAATATGCCAGGTTTCAGGGACAAACACTTCACAATAAGGCACATGTATCATCATACCTACGATTTGCTTACTTTTTCAAATTTAAATCAACGCGGTAAATCTACAGGTAGCCAACCTAGCTCCTACATAATTTAAAGATGCAATGTTCTTGACTTCACAAAACTTAGATTTGAGGTGCAATAAAATAATGCTGTTTTTGTTGTTTGTTTTGCTTTCTGGAAAACAATATTTCAGTTATATCAACGAGTGTCAGCCGGTACCTGGGGCGCTCTCACATAGAGGACCCTCCACCCGTGGATACCCGGGAGAAAGGAGACTACAACCCTCCACCCGTGGATACCCGGGAGAAAGGAGACTACAACCCTCCACCCGTGGATACCCGGGAGAAAGGAGACTAGAACCCTCCACCCGTGGATACCCGGGAGAAAGGAGATTACAACCCTCCACATCAACACTGGTAGTTCAAGTATGTACGCATCATAATCTTAATATCACTTAAGATCCGGGATAGAATAGGTCTTCAGCAACCAATGCATATCGTAAAAGGCGACTATGCTCGATTATATACAGACCGTCGTCATACAGCTGGAAAATTGCCGAGTGCGGCGTTAAACAACAAACAAACAAACATAATATCACTTAATCCCATTATTCCAAGATTGTGCAGACACAAAGCCTTTTTACCCAAACAATCCTTCTGTGAATCCACTCTTGAGATCAAATGGAGTGACATTGATCCCACTCTACTATCAATGACTTTTCATGGAACACCTTCTTGGCCAGAGAGAGGTGATAGCTAAATACGTTTATTTATTGGATATCCTTGTGTCTGTTATCGCGAGCATATATTCATATTGGGATTTTCATTTTTCTCTCCAGAATTGTAAATGCCGAGAGAGGGGAAGCCACTCAATTGTATGATCTCAATATGACCGATTTCAATGGTCATTGTTTCCGGTCGGTGGTCGCTTGAGGAGGAGAAAAACATAATGAATGCACGTTTGTATCACAAGAGCCAAGAATGGCATTGAAGATATTAATTTGAAGAACAGTCTAACCCACCTTTATGCAAACACACACGATCTGTGCTAACATCAATTCTCAAATACAAAGTCATTCTACTTGATATTGACAGCCTAGATCACCCCAAACGTATATATAATTCAGATGGAAGCATCTCATATGACATGATTGCACAAAGAATTAAACCAGGAAAGGAACTACTCAATTTTGATTTAGAGGTTTCAAAGCTAGATTTGATTTGCTGTTATATTTTATTTGAAACCTCTCACTTCCTTGCTAACATCTAGCTTACCTCTCGACATTCGAATAGTCATTTGTTTTTACCTATATTTATACAAAAATACTTGTGTACTTGTGTCTGAAGTATAAAACATGAAATGTGAGCAATCAAAATATGTGTTGCGTGTCATTTTCTGTATTTCTAATGCTTGACTTGTGTTTTTCTGCATAGTTACATATCATAAATGGATATTATATATTATTTCATTTAATTGTAAGTGGGGGCACGGGTGGCCCAGTCGCCTTAGGCACCGCGATTCGCTGTGCAGAGTTGCGTCCCTTGGGCACGCCAGAAACATGCAATCCTGGTTCGCCCCAATTATGTTTCTAGGTTTGTCAGCACCATACCCATGCTCGTGGGTTTCACCGAAGTGGTAAACGTCCGAGACCTGCATCACTTGGGGCTTTCCTCCCACATTAAGCTGACACGCCGTGATATAACTGGAATACTGTTAAAAGCGGTGTTAATCCCAATTTACTCACTCACTCACTTTAAATGTAAGTCTACCAGACATGTCTAATTCCCTGTGATTTTTATACTAACATATCATAAACGAACATTATTCTACTACAAGATACATTCTTTCTTTGAATTCATGTCGTCTATATACTTCCACAATAGGGGGCGGTCGGATAGCCTAGTGGTTAAAACTTTCGCTCGTCACGCCGAAGACCCGGGTTCGATTCCGGACATGGGTACAATGAGTGAAGCCCATTTCTGGAGTCCCCCGCCGTAATGTTCCTGGAATATTGCTTAAAGCGGCGTAAAAACCATACTAACTCACTTCCACAATAGTACAGCAGGCTCGACGAGCCATAATAAGAAACTGTAAAGATGATTGGGAAGGTCTGTTATGCGTTTAAGGCATGTACTCACTGATTAACAGCAGGACTATTTGCGGCCACATAGCTGAAAGTTGTCTGGTTGTTACCGAACCTGTTGAGAAACAAAACAATTGATAGTTACTGCAAACAAATGCAGCAGTTGACAATTCCAATAACCAGGCGTGACTGTTGTGCAGAGGACACATGTAACATTTTGAATGTGGTAGGAGAACGTTTCATTTATAAAAAAAACCAAAAAACAGTGTGGACGTTCTATAATTCGTGGGGGCACGGGTGGCCTAGTCGTCAAAGGCGTCGCGATTCGCTGTGTACAGTTGTGTCCCTTGGGCACGCCAGAAACCTATGATTGTGGGTTGGAATCCCGGTTCGCCCCGATTATGTTTCTAGGTTTGTCAGCACCATACCCGTGCTCGTGGGTTTCACCGAAGTGGTAAACGTCTGAGACCTGCATCACTTTGGGCTTTCCTCCCACATAAAGCTGACACGCCGTGATATAACTGGAATACTGTTAAAAGCGGCGTTAGGCCCAACTCACTCACTCACTCACTATAATTCGTAGTGTAGTGACGGACATCTACATCAAATCAGGCGTTATTCAAGAACAGCTGAATTGACATGCCGTTAGACATGTACCCATCATATAATGCCAATTTGTGTTTGTTTTGTAACAGCACACTCAGCAATAATCAGGCCGTTTGATCGTGGCTTGTAAATAATTAAAGCTAGACCAGACAAGCCAGTATTTTGTGTTTTGCGTTGTGTTTAACGCCACACTCTGCAATATTTCGGTTAGATGACGGTCTGAAAAATAGAAGAAGTCTCGACCAGATCCACGCAATTGGGATACGATGACATGCATCAACCTAGTCAGCGAGCCTGACCACCCTATCCCGTTAGTCGACACTAACGACAAGCATAGTCGCCTTTCATATGGGTTGCTGAATACTTCTTCTAGCCCGGATCTTCACGGGTCGCTTAACATTATAAACACATATTCATGTCGTCAGCGGACGGTGACACGCAGTTAACTTACACATAATGACAACTTAAAGGTTATTAAATAATGGTTAGCGGTGAGATCTAGGGCGCTCAAAGTTCGCTATTCATCAATAATGTTGTGTGTGTATACGCATAGTATCGTTAAGCAAAGCGACAGCATAGAGGCACAACGTTCACCTCGACTTGTATTATACATTCAGACAACATAAGGATACTAGCTGTGTTCTCTATCGAGTTACCTATTTTAACCTTATATCCCTCGGTTAAGATTTTGGTTTTGGTTTGTTGTTTTATGCCGCACTCAGCAATATTCCAGCTATATGACGGCGGTCTGTAAATAATTCAGTCTGGACCAGACAGTCCAGTGATTAACATCATGAACATCAATCTAAGCAATTGAAATCGATGACATGCATCAACCAAGTCAGCGAGCCTGACCACCCGATCCCGTTAGTCGCCTTTTACAACAAGCTTGGTCGCCTTTTACAGTAAGCATGGGTTGCTGAAGACCTGTTGTGATACCTAAACGTAGCCTCAAAAGGATGTTTATAATATTTTGTAATCACCCGTCTCTCAAAACTGCAAATAAACAACATACTAATGTGTGTTTTATTTTGTCAATGCCAGGAGACTTCCTGGGCTGAGATTGTTAGTGGCTGCATACTCGAAGAGGGTTGAATTAAAATTACTGTCCTCCTATGAGGATATCGCAAGTCGATGTCATTCAAAGACTAGATATGCCTACTGCTCTTTTAAAAGTAGAAAATTTGTAATTTTATTTGTTGCTGATATTGGTTGCAATCGCCAGCGACTGAAGGGATGGTGTTTATCCTGCTTGTGTCCATGCAGGTAGCAACAATGATCCCGAGTATGGTGATCTACCTTCAGTGGCTGGCGACCTGTAGCACTTTTTATATTGTATTGCTGCATATAGAGTGATATTTTTATGGTTCTATGCTAGTTTTAAATATTAATCTGTGATGTTCTCGTTAGTTTACTGTCCTTCATTGACGGGCTTTTACTATGTTAAAGTGTATGTTACGTATACCTCTTGATCGTCTGAAATAATGCTGATGTGACCATGAATCTTACCTGACTGACTGACTGACTGACTGACTGACTGACTGACTGATTGACTGACTCACTGACTCACTAACTGACTCACTCACTCACTCACTCACTCACTTCGGCAGCATATCACATGACTCATGATCATTCGCATGACTGGTATCATCACATCCCCGCGGATGTCATATATTTTTTCACCACTATTTTGCCGTTTCCGCCCTGTGGAAACTGTGTCGTCTACAGGGACGTTTCACATTTTGATTTTGATTTTTCCCCATCACGAGATAGGAGAAACATGCTATTTCACTCGACACATGGAATATCCTATTTATTATATGCTTTTTGTGTAGTTATTTACCGCAAAAATTAAATTATTTCATTGCAAACCTTAAAAAACGTAAATTCTCCATACCTAACAAGTGTTTGCAAAATCATAACAAATATAAACAAACGTTATAAAACATATTTAGCCTCTCTAAAATTTTGTATCATACATATAAATATGATTATATATAAAATCAACTTTAACAAAAACATATTCCTCGACACCGTTGTGGAAAGCGAAAGAATACACGTTGTTCAAGTAACAAAAATGGCGCTTTGAGAAACGAACGGTCTCGATTGACGAGATGACGGAACATTTTCAAGAGAAAAACACATCCTACACCTATCCAGCTCTATCCCACCCCTTCCCGCCATACCCACACCTACCCAGCTCTATCGCCCCTGTCCCCGTCATACCAACACCTACCCAGCTCTAGCCCTCGCCTCCACGCCTCCCCACCACATCCCACACCTACCCAGCTCTATCCCTCCCGTCCCCACCATTCCCACACCTACCCAGCTCGATCCCTTCCTTCCCATCATTCCCACACCTACCCAGCTCTATCCCTCCCGTCCCCGCCATACCCACACCTACCCAGCTCTATCCCTCCCCTCCCCGCCATACCCACACCTACCCAGCTCTATCCCTCACCCCCACCCCCACCCGCCATACCCACACCTACCCAGCTCTATCCCTCCCGTCCCCACCATTCCCACACCTACCCAGCTCGATCCCTCCCCTTCCCATCATTCCCACACATACCCAGCTCTATCCCTCCCGTCCCCGCCATACCCACACCTACCCAGCTCTATCCCTCCCCTCCCCGCCATACCCACACCTACCCAGCTCTATCCCTCACCCCCACCCCCACCCGCCATACCCACACCTACCCAGCTCTATCCCTCCCGTCTCCGCCATACCCACACCTACCCAGCTCTATCCCTCCCGTCCCCACCATGCCCACACCTACCCAGCTCTATCCCTCCCGTCCCCACCATGCCCACATCTACCCAGCTCTATCCCTCCCCTCCCCGCCATGCCCACACCTAAACCAGCACTATCCCTCCCGTCCCCATCATACCTACACCTACCCAGCTCTATCCCTCCCCTCCCCGCCATAACCACACCTACCCAGCTCTATCCCTCCCCTCCCCTTCCCGCGATATCCAACATCTACCCAGCTCTAGCCTTCACCTCCCCACCATATCCAAAAATGAATTCAGGCAAGTACGTACACTTACATGATATGATGTCAAAATGTACACACAATTTACAAACGTTACACTGATGTAAGTATGTGTTTATTCACATGTGGTACATGCGTTCAGGGTTCCTCTTCTGGCCCCAAATCCCAAGCGGCCTACATGTAAACCCACATAGACCCGAACAAAACGTTACATAAAACTAAACTGCTTCCCACTCAAGTTATCAAAGCTTCCCCTACAAACAGTTTTGCCAGTACTGTTTCCTGTTGCACTTTCAATGTTATCGAAACATAGTGTTTTATGTTTCCTGTTTTGTAATAGCCTAAACAACGAAAATAATTCACATATCATTTATGTTTTGATACTAAAGGAGTTTTGATATATTTGATATCAAAAGACACGCGTTGAGATTTTATTTATCATCCAACATCATTCTTCCAACTTTTTCAGTAATAAGCAGAGTCTTAAATGTAAAAAATACTTCTAACAGCTTCAGTAGCAGAGCCAATATTGATGTCATTTGATTACGACGTCATGGTAATCAATGGCGTCAAAATGGTCTGCAAAGCCTTGTGATGCAATTTCATTGCACCAATATCTACAATGTAGATATCACTTGATCTTACGTAAGTAATATATCTTGTGGGAGCCAGTTTTGGATGAAAAAATATGTAAACAAATAAGCTATAGAGTGTATTATTGTATTAAGCCTTGTGTAATCCCTGCAGTAAACAAATCTGATCAAGTTGGTAATATGATTCGATAAACATGCAAACGAGGCCGCCCACCAGGAACTATTTTCAGGGTCCATGCATCAATGCGAAGCCTTCTTTCTCAATAAACTATTGACTAACGTCCCCATTATGCTAAGATAGTTGTTTTGTCCAAACACGGTGACGAACATCGCTGCTTGTCATTTGGCGCTATATGATAAATTAGGCGGTTCACTAAAAACGTATGTTCATACACAATTTCTTTTGCTTCTTCATTGAGTGAAATTATGTCTTAACAGCTGTTATTTTAAAAATGACATATGAAACAGATAGTATTATCCACGTGTGTTTCCGTGTCGTAAATACAATATATTAGGAATAAAACGACTCGCGTAATACATTTTCAATTTCTATTATAAGATATACGACAACACACTTGACTAATAATCCATGAAGAAATAAGTGACTGTCACAGCAGGCACAACGAAACATTGTTGTGGGTTCATGTTTGTAGAGACAAACATTACGGTCGAAGAGAAGATTTTCCTGCAGCCATGATCAGCGAATCACATGATGTTACAGCCACAACAGTTATGAATATAATAATAATTACCTCGCGTTGAGTCACATCAGTTGACATTTGCAAGCAGCAGTCCTCGTGTCCAAACACAACTCCCTCAAGTTGGTACACACACCAGTTATCAAATGCAAGCAGCGGTCCTCATATATACACACAACTACATGAATTTGTAGGTAACTTTCCAGACAGTACCACACTTCT